GGATGATCTTCAAATATAACGATCAAAAAAAAAAAAAGTATGTTTTAGGATTATCCCTATTAATATTCATTTAAGTTATCACTAATGAAACACACTGGTGTCTCGGAGTTTGTTTAATGGAAAATTTTGTTTTAAAAAATGGTTTGTCTGGTAGATGTAAAAGCAGTATGATCAATGCAAACAAAAAAGGGGATATTTCACCAAAAGCTTGTCATCCCAAACCTGTATGACTTTCTTCAGTGAAACACAATAGAAGATATTTTCAGAAATGTCTCAATGAATGTCAACATTCTTCAAAATATCTTCTTTTGCGTTCCACAAAAGATATTCATACAGGCTTGGAGTGACATGATTGTGAGTAAATGCTGACAATTTTCATTTCTGGATAAACTATCCCTTTAAAACATTATTTTATCCTGGGTGGTTATCTATGTACTGTGGTAAACAAACAAAAAAAGAGGCTAGGCAGGTGTGGAATCAATACAAACTCCGATATGTGAAAACATACCTCATTCTCTGCTTCGCTGCAGCTCTTATCTTGACATTCTTCTGCTGTATCCTCAATCTCTACTGTTGCTTTTGGCTCGGAACACTTTTTGCCAAATTGGGCCTTTTTGAATGTTTGGAGGAGCTTTGTGAAACCTCCTCCTTAGTTGCTCTCTCTGGATAGAGCTTCTTCCTGACACATAATGGGGTAATTGATAAAGATTTGCAATTAGAGCACTGCCAAAAGAAAAATCTCTGACTTTGGTAAGACTTTTATATACCCATGATCATCTTCAGCACCAGGGTCTGTTAACGAGACTTCACTACAATCAGCACCCAGCTCAGATCCAGTACACTCTGTGTAGAACATAAAAATCAGATGAATTTTACAAAACAAACATCAATTTTCAGTGAGCACTTTAAAAATGTATTGTAATTTGTAACGTATTTTAAAATCCTCAACAACAAAAAAACCCACTACCTTGCTGTGATGTTTTGCTCTTTTTAGTCTTCCGTTTACATTTTGTAAGTTCCTGTTCTTCCTTCTCCCACTTTTTGGAGTGTTTCCATTTTTTAGTTTGGATGGCAGATGCCTCATTACGCTCGTCATTCACTGCGCCACTTTCTCCATCAGTAGGTTCTTCATTCAGTACTGTCAAGTTTACAAAAAGTATATTTTAAACATGCACACTGCAGTTCAAAGTTTTGGGGGTAAGATTTTAATTTTTTTTATGAATACTTCTATTCAGCAAGGATTTCAAGAATTAAATTGATCACATGTGACTAGATGATCCAGACTAGATTAATGTCTGCAGAAAATTCAGCTTTGCGATCACTGGAATCAGTAGTGTATATCTACAAATACAAACAGCAATTCCTTTGATGTGACACATATGCACACATAAAAATATTAATATAGGTTTAATTTCACTTACGTGGGAGTTGGTGGAGCAGTGATCTGTGTTTGAGTCTCCTCTGTGGAAAGGAAGGACCTTTTGAGATGTAAACAATCATTACCCAAGTACCTAGTCAGGAAATATAATCTGAAATATCAAAGTTCACATTCATATGCAACAGCAATGCAATAGAAGATAAAAAGAAAATAAAAATTGAAAATAAAATTGAAAACAAAATGAGATAAATCTAATGATTATGATAAGAAAAACACAAAGATAAGTCAAGGACTATGATGAAACCAAGTATCAAATAATATTTTGAATTAGAATTTATTGTTATATTTCAACTTGAATTTTATTTTAAGTTCTTATTACTTTCTGTTCTTTTTTCTTTAGCTTTCACTTATTTTTATTTCAGTTTGGTTTTAGTAATTTAATATTTCAACAAACTTTATTTGTAAAGTTTATTAAACTTTGATTTTTTTTGTAATATAATGCATCTTTGCTGAATGAAAGTATTAGCCTAATTTCCTTCAAGATCATAAATAAAAGTATTAATTTCCACAAATGTTTGAATGGTAGTGTATGTTTAATCATAAATGTTCAATTTGATTCCACACGAGAGGCAATTGCCATTTTCCAATTCAGCCCAAAATATACTTGATTTCTATAGCCAATGTCTTCCTTAAAAAAAACAAAAAACAAAAACAAATATGGTTCCAGGGAGAATAAATAGTATTTAGTAAATTATGGGGGTGCTGTCAGGGTGTACTTACATGTTCAGTGATGCTTTCTCTGATGGAGAGCCGGGCACATTTCCATCTCCTGTCGCCACAGCAGACTCTTTGACTTCCAGCTGAGACTGTGGAGAAGTTGACAGCTTTTGATGGGTGTCATCAACAGCTGTGGACCCTTGGGAGCTCTTGTCCTCAGCTGCGGGTGCCACACTTCGACCTCCTGGCCTGACATTGGGTTTAATACTAATTCTTGCTCTTCGCATCCTCTTCAAGTAACTGTGGTAAACTCAAGTCATGTATAAGCTTGCATGTCATACATACACGTCTATATAAGGATGAGGTGTCACGTGACTGAATTTGAGTTGCACTACGACTCAGTACAATACAACACAGCAATACAAACCCTATATGATATAGATTACAATTTTGTCATGTGGTCAAGACTGACTTGTTTCATCAGTCTGGTGGTGGCCATGTCTCGTGTGGCTGCTAAGCTAAGTTTTGAATGATATTGTGGACAGTACTGTAGAAATGGAGGAGATTCAAGACCACTGTTACTCTCCCCAGAAGCGGTCGACCAACAAAGATCACTCCAAAAGCAAGACTTGTAATAGTCTGCGAGGCTGCAAAGGAACCATGGGTAACTTCTAAGCAACTAAAGGCCTTTCTCACATTGGCTAATGTTAATGTTCATGAGTCCACCATCAGGAGCACACTGAGCAACCACGGTGTGCATGGCAAGAGTTGCAAGGAGAAAGCCACTGATCTCCAAAAAGAAAATCACTGACCGTCTGCAGTGATGAAGAAATGTTTTGTGGACAGATGAGACCAAACTATAATTTTTTGATTTATATGAGAAGTGTTCTGTTTGGAGAAAAGAATACACTGCATTCCAGCATAAGAACCTCATCCCATCTGCGAAACGTGGTGGTAGTATCGTGATTTGGGCCTATTTTGCTGCATCTGGTCCAGGACGACTTACCATCATTGATGAAACCATGAATTCTGAATTATACCAGCAAATTCTAAAGGAAAATGTCAGGACATCTGTCCGAGAACTGAGTCTCAAGAGAAACTGGGCCATGCAGCAAAACAACGACCCCAAGCACACAAGTCATTTTACCAAAGGATGGTTAAAGAAGGACAAAGTGAATGTTTTGGATGACTGAGTCAGAGTCTGGACCTGAATTAAATTGAAATGTTGTGGAAGGAGCTGAAGCAAGCAATTCATAGGAGGAAACCCACCAACATCACAGAGTTGAAGTGGTTCTGTACTGAGGAATGAGCTAAAACTAATACAAGATGTTGTGTAGGACTGATCAGCAGTTACAAGAAACTTTACCTGCAGTTAAGCACCACTAGCATACTACTCTTACTACCTCAGTTTGGAGTCTAGGCCTTGGCAAAATATGTAAAAATGTTTGCTTGACTTGACATTACGTTTTATGTGTGCTGAATGAACAAGCAGTCATATTAACCACAAATTTTAAATTTCCAAAACTGCTACAGCTGTTTTAAGATATAATTAATTTTGAAGTGATAATAGTGACTTGACTTGTTGCGTACTAGTTATGTAGGTAGCATGCTAGCATTCCATTCTGAACACAGCGAGTCTTAAAAAAAGTCTGAAGTGTACTTCATTCAGCACATTGTTTTTCATCTAGTTTAGAAAATGAATTCAGTTATCTGCTGATCCCATTCAAACTGATCCCATTGTACTAACAAAACTTAGCATGTGAGGCTCAAATCATTCAGCCAGTCATCACTTTATTGTGAAGTAGACCCAACTGGTCATATACAGACTTGAATACAAACTTTGCAAAAGATAAATAGGACAATTCTGAATCTATTCCACTAAAATTCCAGTTTATTGCAGCGACTACATATTTTAAAACACCTTAGTTCTATAGCATCCAAGGTAGAGATGGCATAGTGCATAACAGAGCAGATATTTATATATGTACACACATACAATTCACATAGTTCATTTTGACAAGGCTTCAGCATCCACTACAGTCAGTATAGTACACACATTGTCTTTTTTTTTTTTTGCTAATCCATTAATCCACTGAGATGAATGCATTTCTGTTACACTTTTAAACCTTGCAATATCATGTTTTTCCCACTTAATTTGTCTGGTGGAAAATGATTATATCCCCACCTAACAAAAGGGAAAAATAAAGAGCAGTGTAGTAAGATATCATTGATCAATCAGACACATCAATATGCTCTTATCAAGTATTACCTGAAGCATTCTGCACCATCATGTTACACGCAAAACAATGTGCTTAAATAGTATCATCCTCCTTATTCTATGGATAGATATTATTTTTGAAGGTGTTTATATTTGCAGAACCGCTGACAACATGCCAGTAGTAGCAATTTAGATTATTCATTCAATACAATGTCAAATCAAAACAAAAACAGAGAACTTTTGACATGATGACAGTACATACTGTATATATTAGTGAACGTCGCAAGCTCAAACAGAACACTGAATACAGATCAAAGAAAATAACATCTTGCAAGTGATGCAGTTCAAATACAGGTTGATTAGAGTCAGTTGCTCTTTTATAATGAACAGGTCAGTACAGTATGATGCTGATTGCACAGTTATCATATCAGAGCATCTCTACAGATATTATATACACTGTCTCTCTGCTGTCCATCATGTGGGTTTGTGATTGGACATTTAATATGTCCAAACTTGAATTGGATATTTCAAAAATCTGTCATCTTATTCAGTTGATATGCCAGTTCATAAAAATGTGACCAGTCATGCCCTAAAGCTTTTTGATAAATGTGGAAAAGTAAACATATAATGTCAAGATAATACTGCAATGAAGAAAGAGTGATCAAAGAAGGCAAACACTTGTCTACTGGTGCAACAATGACAAAATTGCTTTTGAGTGCTTTTAGTACAGAAAACAAAACCACTGTCATCATGTTGTCTTTTACTTATTCAGTTGATATGCCAGTTCATAAAAATGTTTCTCAAAATTAGTGACCAGTCATGCCCTAAAGGTTTTTGATAAATGTGGAAAAGTAAACATATAATGTCAAGATAATACTGCAATGAAGAAAAAGTGATCAAAGAAGGCAAACACTTGTCTACTGGTGCAACAATGACAAAATTGCTTTTGAGTGCTTTTAGTACAGAAAACAAAACCACTGTCATCATGTTGTCTTTTAGAGACAAAATGCACTCAAATTCATGTTTGTTGATCATGTTATGATCATGGTTCATAAAACGAGGAGGGTTGCACATGCTTCATTTGGCTGTGACATCAGAGCTAAGAGACCTGCTCTTGAACAGGATGCACTTTAGAGGGAAAGCTACATAAAAATGGTGCTCTGTGAAAAGCGGTTGTCGTTGTGTATCCATTAGCTTAACCACGACATTATAAAGCTGAAACATCTGGGATGGAATTGTTTTTTGCATAATTTCTTGTTCAGTGATTTGTGTTTGATCCATACTTGGACCCTATGGAGTCATCAAGATGTCCGGCTATCATGCAAATGGGTTTCCAAATGGGTCTCTGAAAGGATCTAAGCCCACAGTCTTTATGGGAGGTGCACTCTGTAAAGGTCAAAAGAAAAAAGAACCATAAATATTAAAGAAAAAGGAAGAAGAAGAAGAAGAAGAACAAACATAAACATTCTTGAGGGTTTTAGAAAACTCAAAATAATGTTATTGTTTGATAAAATGTTTCATAATCTCTTATAAGAATGCACATATACATACAGTTGCAGGTACAGATGTGCCAAACAGATTTTTTCCAACGGAGTTGTCGAATGGGTTCTGGCCTCCAATCTTCAGTTCAACTGAAATCAAATATAAACTTTTATTTCAGCTGGTTGCCAAAGCAACATTTCTCATTTTAATTTAGTTTAACTTGATGTACCAAATTAATGAAAAAAAAACTATACAGACTTTAACAAACTAGCAAAAATGACAAAAAATTACTCAAACTTAAAAAA